ACCATCAATGAGACAGTGTCACCACCAACAACAACAACATAAGAGACAGCGTCACCACCACCATCAACATAATAGACAGTGTCACCACCATCATCAACATAAGAGACAGTGTCATCACCATCATCAATATAAGAGACAGTGTCACCATCAACATAATAGACAGTGTCACCACCATCATCAACATAATAGACAGTGTCACCACCATCATCATGAGACAGTGTCATCACCATCATCAACATAAGAGACAGTGTCACCACCATCATCAACAAGAGACAGTGTCATCACCATCATCAACATAAGAGACAGTGTCACCACCATCATCATGAGACAGTGTCATCACCATCATCAACATAAGAGACAGTGTCAACCATCATCAACATAAGAGACAGTGTTATCACCATCATCAACATAAGAGACAGTGTTCACCACCATCATCAACATAAGAGACAGTGTATCACCATCATCAACATAATAGACAGTGTCACCACCATCATCATGGAGACAGTGTCACCACCATCATCATGAGACAGTGTCACCACCATCATCAACATAAGAGACAGTGTCACCACTCATAATGAGACAGTGTCACCACCATCATCATGAGACAGTGTCAACACCATCACTATGAGACAGCGTCACCACCACCATCAACATAAGAGAAAAACCATCATCAACATAATAGACAGTCACCATCATCAACATAATAGAGTCACCACCATCATCATGACAGTATACATCACCATCATTAACATAAGAGACAGTCACCATCATCAACATAAGAGACGGTACGCACCACCATCAACATAAGAGACAGTGTCACCACCATCATACAAGATAAGAGACAGTGTCACCAATCACCATCAACATAAAGAGACAGTACCACCATCATCAACATAAGAGACAGTGTCACCACCATCATCAACATAAGAGACAGTGTCACCACCATCATCAACATAAGAGACAGTGTCACCACCATCATCAACATAAGAGACAGCGTCACCCATCATCAAACATAAGAGACAGTGTCACCACCATCATCAACATAAGATCAACATCATCACACATCAAGAACATCACCACCATCATGAGACAGGTCATCACCATCATCAACATAAGAGACAGTGTCATCACCATCATCAACATAAGAGACAGTACACCATCATCAACATAGAGAAAGTGTCACCACCACATCAACATAAGAGACAGTGTCATCACCACCATCAACATAAGAGACAGTTCATCACCATCATCAAAGAGACAGTGTCACCTCATCATCAACATAAGAGACAGGTCACCACCATCATCAACATAAGAGACAGTGTCACCACCATCATCAAGAGAAGTGTCACGCTCATCATCAACATAAGAGACAGTGTCATCACCATCATCAACATAAGAGACAGTGTCATCACCACCAACATAGAGACAGTCATCATCAACATAAGAGACCATCAAGAGACAGTCATCATAACCATCATCACATAGACGGTCATCACCATCATCAAGAGAAGTGTCACCACCATCATCAACATAAGAGACAGTGTCATCACCATCATCAACAAGAGACAGTGTCATCACCATCATCAACATAAGAGACAGTGTTACCACCATCAATAAGAACAAGTGTCATCACCATCAACATAAGAGACAGTGTCACCACCATCACAAGAGACAGTGTCATCACCATCATCAACATAAGAGACAGTGCCACCAATAATAGACAATGTCACCACCATCATCAACATAAGAGAGACAGTACCACCACCATCACAATAGACAGTGTCACCACCATCATCAACATAAGACAGTGTACCACCATCATCAACATAAAGACAGCACCATCAATGAGACAGTGTCATCACCATCATCAACATAAGAGCGCCACGCACCATCAACAAATAGACAGTGTCATCACCATCATCAACATAAGAGACAGCCACCACCACCATCAACATAATAGACAGTGTCATCACCACCATCAACATAAGAGACAGTGTCATCACCATCATCAACATAAGAGACAGTCACCATCATCAACATAAGAGATGCCACCACCTCAAATAACATAGACAGTCACCACCACCATCAACATAAGAGACAGTGTCATCACCATCATCAACATAAGAGACAGCGCCACCACCATCAACAACATACAGTGTCATCACCATCATCAACATAAGAGACAGGTCATCACCATCATCACATATAAGCAGGCCATCATCAACATAAGAGACAGCCACCACACCACCATCATCACCATCAATCAAATAATAGACAGTCACCACCACCATCAACATAGAGACAGTGTCCACCATCATCAATATGTCACCACCATCATCACATAAAATCATCATCAACATAAGAGTGTCACCACCATCATCAACATAAGAAAGTGTCACCATCATCAACATAAGAGACAGTGTCATCACCATATCAACATAAGAGACAGTGTCATACCATCATCAACATAAGAGAGGTCATCACCATCATCAACATAAGAGACAGTGTCACCACCATCATCAACATAAGAGGAGCACACCATCATCAACATAAGAGACAGTGTCATCACACCATCATCAACATAAGAGAAGGCATCACCATCAATAAGAGATGCATCACCATCATCAACATAAGAGACAGTGTCACCACCATCATCAACAGAGACAGTGTCACCATCATCAACATAAGAGACAGGCCATCACCATCAAACATAAGAGACAGTCATCACCATCACCATCATAAGAGACAGTGTCACCACCATCATCAACATAAAGACAAGTCACCACCATCATCAACATAAGAGACAGTGTCACCACCATCATCAACATAAGAGACAGTGTCACCACCATCATCAACATAAGAGACAGCGCCACCAACACAACAACAGTGTCACCATCATCAACATAAGAGACAGTGTCACCACCATCATCAACATAAAGAAGTACACCATCCCATCATCATAGATGCCACCATCATCATCATAATAGACAGTGTCACCACCATCATCAACAGACAGTCACTGAATATCATGTCACCATCATCAACATAATAGACACCATCATCAACATAAGAGATAGCACCATCAATAACATAAGAGACAGTGTCACCATCATCAACATTAGACAGTGTCACCACCATATCAACATAAGAGACAGTGTCATACCACCATCACAACATAAGAGAATGTCACCCACCATCATCATGAGACAGTGTCATCACCATCATCAACATAATAGACAGTGTCACCATCATCAACATAAGAGACAGTGTCACCACCATCATCAACATAAGAGACAGTGTCACCACCATCATCAACATAAGTAGCAGTGTCATCCACCATCATCAACATAAGAGACAGTGTCACCACCACCATCATCATGAGACAGTGTCACCACCATCATCAACATAAGAGACAGCATCACCACCACCATCAACATAATAGACAGTGTCACCACCATCATCAACATAAGAGACAGTGTCATCACCATCATCAACATAAGAGACAGTGTCACCATCATCATGAGACAGTGTCACCAACATCATCAACATAAGAGACAGTGTCATCACCATCAATATAATAGACAGTGTCACCCCACCATCAACATAATAGACAGTGTCACCATCATCAACATAAGAGACAGTCACCACCACCATCAACGATAATGAGACAGTGTCACCATCATCATGAGACAGCCACCATCATTATGAGACAGACAGTGTCACCATCATTATGAGACAGTGCGTCGCCATCATCATGAGACAGTGTCACCACCATCATCAACATATGAGACAGTGTCATCACCACCACCATCATCATGAGACAGTGTCACCACCATCATCATGAGACAGTGTCACCACCATCATCATGAGACAGTGTCACCACCTTCATCATAAGACAGTGTCACCATCATCATCATAAGACAGTGTCACATCATCATCATAGACAGTGTCACCACCACCATGAGACAGTGTCACCACCATCATGAGATAGTGTCACCATCATCATCATAAGACAGTGTCACCACCATCATGAGACAGTGTCACCACCATCATCATCATAAGACAGTGTCACCACCATCATCATGAGACAGCCACCACCATCACCACCATCATCATAAGACAGTGTCACCATCATCATCATAAGACAGTGTCATCATCATATAACACCACCATCATGGAGACAGTGTCACCATCATCATGAGACAGTGTCACCACCATCATCAAAGACAGTGTCATTATCATAAGACAGTGTCACCACCATTTCATCATAAGACAGTGTCACCATCATCATCATAAGACAGTTTCACCATCATCATAAGACAGCATCACCATCATCATCATAAGACAGTGTCACCATCATCATGAGACAGTGTCACCATCATCATCATAAGACAGTGCGTCACCACCATCATCAACATAAGAGACTGTGTCACCACCATCATCATCATAAGACAGTGTCACCACCATCATCATAAGACAGTGTCACCATCATCATCATAAGACAGTGTCACCACCATCATCATAAGACAGTGCGTCACCACCATCATCATAAGACAGTGTCACCATCATCATCATAAGACAGTGTCACCATCATCATAAGACAGTCACCATCATCATCATAAGACAGTGTCATCATCATGAGACAGTGTCATCCATCATAAGACAGTGTCACCACCATCATCATAAGAGTGTCACCACTCATCATAAGACAGTGTCACCACCATCATCAGACAGTGTCACTAATCACCATCATCATCATGAGACAGTGTCACCACCATCATCATAAGACAGTGTCACCACCATCATCATGAGACAGTGTCACCACCATCATCATCATCATAAGACAGTGTCACCACCATCATCATCATGAGACAGTGTCACCACCTTCATCAACATAAGAGACAGTGTCACCACCACCATCATCATAAGACAGTGTCACCACCATCATCATCATAAGACAGTGTCACCACCATCAACTAATAAAGTAAGACAACACTCACCAAAGGGTAGAGAGAGTGTGAGTCCATGTGGCCAGGCAGAGGTGCCTCCTGGGTGTATCCCTGGCCTCCTGAACTTTCACCAATATCACCCGGGTTCTGCCACTAAAGAAAATAGATATGAAATTAAAAGAAGTGGTATTTTTGGAGTTACTTCATTAATTACTAAAATCACAAAAATGTTCTAGGGAAGACAATTAGCTAAATAGGATGTTACTATTTAATAGAGGCTTTCCTCTTGGGTCTCTCAGATTATCACCCACTGTGCTACCATGACACATTATCCTTGACTTGCCAGATGTTCCCATACCATACAAAATGACAGCCACCATACACTTGCCCCAGGCCCCCCCCATAAAAAAAAAACAATTACAATTACCTTATGTGGCTGGGGCACCAATCATGATGCCAATCACTTTGTGAGTTAAAGTGATTTACTGTCCCTTAAAAACCTCATATTTCTCCCTCATCCTTAACAACTGAGTTCAGCTTTCCTGGTTACAATCTTTTTTCAAATCTCAGGAGTGGAGGTGGTCTCTGATGCTATGCAATATGACAATACATTGCCCTTTAATATACAGTATTGTAATCTCTAACTTCCCCTCTCCTTTTACAAACTGTCTTTTGTCAATATGGTAGACCCTTGCCATTCGCGAGGGATAGGTTCCAAGGTATGGTGCGAATAGGCAAAACCACGAATAGCAACTAATACTGCCTTAGTGCACTACTGTATACCTATACTGCACCAAACAACTGACCTGCCATGGCAGCACTCATCCCCTCTTTTAACTTATCTAATAATAAAACTTTCCTTGTCAGGGTTATCACTGACTTCTGCCTTTTACATTTCTCTCCACTAACACTGACAGTAGGCAGTCTTTTAGGGGCCATTTCACACAGAAACACAAAAATTTTGAAAGTACAACACGAGATGCTGTGCGGGGTGACTCGTTATGCTGTGGGAAAAGGCTTGCAAGCAAGCCACCCATCCGCTCACCGTGAATCGTCAAAATCGAGAATGGCAAGAGTCTACTGTACTGTGTTGTCAAATCCTTTTGCTGCATCTAACATTCTCCTAATGTTCCTCTGGTCAATTCCCAAGTGACAGTTGTGGTGTGCACATCTATGGTCTATAATACAAGGATTTTCCAATTGTTTTCCATCATTGCCCAGTGTTGGAGTCATTATGCCTGATAACCCTAAATCTGGCACTGTACTTAGAAATTTTTAAATTTTGATTGGGGCAAATAACAGAAAAGTATTATTGTTTTGTTTTTGTTTCCCTCAGGAGGTGTCCCTCATAATTCGTAAAACTAATTGCCCAATAATTATTTTGAACTAAAATTACTAAATGGGAGGAAAGAAGGTCTAAGATGCCAGATATTTCAATAAAGGAGGATATTTCATTACTTGCTACTGTATAATTTGAAATACTGTACAATCCTAGTATTGAAATATTTTACAATAATGAGATAGCTTCATAGATAACTTAGGCCATTGGCTCAAGCACTTCATTCATATTCTGCTGCCATTGTACAAGGTTGCAGTTTTTGTGTACAACTTGTGTTGTGCAGCACTGTACATACAAATGGGAAAGGTTCCTGAAAGTCATTCGTAAAGTGAAGTTTTGTATATCGAATAAAAGAACATGTGGAAAAAATAGAGATCGGTTCCCCTATAACGAGAAAACACCATTAGTGTATCATTACCCAAAAACATGAAATAAGTTCACGAACAACAAAAATCTGCCTAACTAATAGTACAAAACTATTGTAATATACAATCGAACACATTAAAAACATTAATAAAATACTATCTAGATGAAAATATGCAGCTAAAACCATTAGGGTAAGGCTAAATGAAAGTTTAATACAGCAGCCATTTGCAGACGCTAGCTGTGACGTGTGGCTACCCTCGAGCATTGCCACAGCAACCCGGCCCAGCTGGGGTCACCACCACTGCCAACCATTAAGCAACTCACACACAAAGAAATAATTATCCCCTTTATATCTTTGACCTAATGATAGTTATTTCTTTTAACTTTTTTTTGCACATTATGTATGAAAGATCATGTGTGCATGTAATTGATTAAAAAAATGAAAAAAATTAAGTTTATCTGCCCTAAAATACAAGTTGAATAATAACCATAACATAACTCCCCTCGGCTCATCCTGCTAACTTATATTTTTGACCTTGTGATAATTATTTTTTTTTTACACATTCTGTATGTAGGATTGTGCGTGCATATAACTGAATAAAAATTGTTTTTTTACTGTACAGTACTCCCTCTTTATCGACGGGGGTTACGTTCTGTAGACAGCCGTCGATAAAGAAACCGTCGAAACCGTGATGGTTACGTAATTTTTCTAACTATTATTAGCATATGTTGAATAAATGTACCTTTAAGCATTAATGCGTTTCCTTTACACATAACCTTAAATAATAGTGTATAAATAATAATATAATAAGTGGACAAAAATACTAGCAAACTCGTCAGCACTCGTCTTGCCCTCTTAGGTGTAGATCCAGAGGGAGCAGCAGGTCGTTTGGGAGGCATGGTGATATAAGTTGATGTGATGAACCACCAGCAAAAGTTGAAAATCAAAGACTGTTGCCCACGCGACTTGGCTGATGTCTGTGTTCAGGGAAGGCGGGCCGCGGGTAGACGCTAGTCACGCCACTAGTGCCGCCTAGCGACGAAAGTACAAACAAGGCCCGCAGAGTTCAAATAAAGCCAAAATAAAAATCCGTCTAAATAATCCGTCGATAAAAAATCCGTCGATAAAGAGGGAGTACTGTATACTCAAAATTACGAGTTGAAAAATAACCATGACATAACTCCGACCTCAGCCTGGTAGGGAAAGTGCTAGGTTTAGGGTGTCCATTATAACTGGGTTCCATTATATAGTGCCCATTATTCCGAGGGTTTGCTGTAATTATAAATTTATAATATTACAGTACTTGACGTCACTTAAATAATAATACTGGATCACATTTGAGGTAAATACAAGTGGCCTGGGACGTTCAGGTTTGGTTATAATAAAACTGTTTAGTCTGGATATCTATTGGTCTTTCTATAACCTGAGAGTAATTTGACAACTTAGCCCTGGAAATCACTTGATGCCTTATTTTCCAGTCACACACACACACATACAGTGGTCCGTCGGTTAAAGAGATTTCAGTTAAAGAGTTACCTTCCATAATATTCTTAACTTCAGTTAACGAGCAATCCCTCGATTAACGAGTTTCTTACGAGCCAACCTGAACATGTTTTCGCTTGCATTTGGCGGTCCACCAGCTGTGGTATTAGTCCGCCAATACAGTAATCAGTTCTAGGGCTTAAACTCCTTACCATTTTAGCAAATATCAAGAAGTTTATACTATTCAATAATATTAAATTTTTAGTCATTTTAACAATTATTGAACATAATTGAAGGTTATGAAACTAGTTTTATGCGAGCCATCCAGCCTCTCAACACACCATACAGGCGTCAGTCTTTGTGTCTTTTCAGTGGAGGTAACATCTTGCTTGAGACTCTCTTCAAACTAAACGGTTTTTTTCTGTGTTTGCAAGCAAATTATTGGTCATTTTGAAATTTATTTTACATATTGACAATATATAATGCAGTGCAGTGTTGATTTAAAGAAAATAATCTTGAATTACACCAAGAGAACTAAAATAATTGTGGGTAAATGGTGCCATGGGGGGACTTCTCTTCCACCCCAATGCCTTCTCTTCTCCCTTCTCCTCCACCCCCATTCTAATTCCCATCATCATCATCATCATCCAGGAGCCTTCTACATACACACCTCAAAGTAAGTGTACTTTTTTACCTTTTTTGTTGAATTTAGGCAATTTTCGGTGAGCTGGAACCAATTACCCAAAAAATCCATTGAAACAATGGTTTCGTTTAACGAGCAACCTTCTAGAACGGATTGTGCTCGTTAACCGAGGGACCACTGTAATACAATACACAGAACATACCCCATGAAGCAGCGAGGGTCCTGGTCGAGCATCTGAACTACTCTCAGACTGATGGAACTGGCGGAGAAAAGACTGATCGTGGCGCTGATGATCATATCTGCCAGGTACCATAAGACCTGACTGGTTCTCTCCTGCTTCATGATCATCCAAACCCATGTCAGCCTCCAGGTTACTGTAGTCAAATACTGTGTCTGTCATCCCACTATCATTCCCTTCCTCGACCATTTCTTCTTTAATCAGTGTGTCATCTACCATAGTCTGAGAAAAGGTTAAGATAAAACCAGTACAAAATCTGCTAAACTCTCTACAACTCTTCCTTAATTATTAGATGACAGAAAATATAAATTTTTATATCTTGCACAGAAAATTATCAATTGGGTTAAGTCTTAAAGTTTACTTTTGTGGTAATAAAATAATTTATCTAAAAAAATATTACTGGGTAGGTTAACACGGGAATAATTCTGACATGTTTTGGCACCAAACTAAGCTGAACATCTGTGATTAAGAAAATGCTTCATCAAGAAGTGAGAAAACAAATGTTAAAAAAGTAAGCAAATTTATATATACCGTACATCATATACTGTAGCTAATTCTTAAGGTACAAATAAATGGTGTATTGTGTACATACCACAACCTGTGATAAGTGACGCTCATGTAAAGATGCTTCATCTTCCACTTTATTGTCTGTCTGATGTGCAGTTCTATGGTCCTTCCTTGAGTTTGATTGGCTGGTTTCTCTATCTGCAAGTTCCTCTCCATGGTATGATTTGAAAGTCATTGTCGGTGACTCTCCGGGAATGTCTGTTTTGTCTTCTTGCAAGTCATCATCATATACCGGAGAGCGTGGAGAGGATAAATCACCACTCTGGTGTTCTCCTAGATTCTGGTCTTGTCGTTTATGTCTCTTTGGATGTGGACTATCACTATCATCTGCTGTGTTACGCCCTCTTCTGTTGCTGACAGGAGGTTCATCAGGTACAGCTAAGCCTTTGATTTGAAGAAGTTCTGCAGCTTTGATCAATTGTGCTAGATCAGACTGTGCCACACTTACTATGCCAGCATACATGTAGCTTAGGAGAGCCTCCATGTCTTTACTCTGAACATCCTTCAGTACGATGACAGGATGTTTGCATGGAGTACATTCAAACATTTTTAGAAAGTAATCACTACAGGTTGATAGTACTAGCTTGTGTACAGGGTAGAATTTGCCTTCACAGGCTACAGTCACATCAGTGTACCTTTCCTAAAGGAAGAAAAAAGGGTAATGCAACATGAGTACAATGAACCAATAGTTAATACACATTATGATTAAACCAAAGATACATACTGTACTTACAAAAAAATCTGAATTGTAGAATATTAATTTTTTTTAAACAAACCAGGAAAACATACACGTACAGGTGCTCCTCTACTTAAGTACATTCAACTTACAAACTTTCAGAGATGCAAACATCATCAATGAAGGGGGTTACCTGCCAGAACAGGTGTTTAATGTGGATGAGACTGGATTATTTTGAAGAGAATTCCAGATAGAACAAACATTACCTAAGAGGAGAAGAGTGAGCCAGGTTTTCAGGCTGTATTAAGGGTATAGCTGTACTAAATGTCCATAATCTTTTCATTTTTTGCAATATGTTTGGTATCTACAAGAGTAAAGTTGGACTTACAAACAAGCCTCGGGGACGTAACTCGTTCGTAAGTAGAGGAGCACCTGTATATAAGTACTGTACTTTTTGCTAAGAATAAATGGACGAGTTGTCGGTTCTGAACAAACACAAGAAATACACTCTGCCAAGTTCATAGAGTGATACGGTATATATAATTTGTAAAAAAGTTTAAAGTCCCGCTATAATAGTAGAGATAAGTTTATTTCTCTAGAAACAGGGCCGCCATTTGCAATGATGTCACCAGTTCCCCACAGACGATGTTCTCCAACAATCTTACAGCTGCAGTCGGATGTAGTAGAAAGGATGGCCTCTTGAGACCCCAAATGCCACGTTCAGGTAAGTTTTAAGGGTGTTTTTTTTTATGGTCTAAGTCATGGACATTTTGTAAGTGAAGAAATGTGCCATGAAGAGCTGCTTATGGACATAAAAAACTCCCATGTTCACACCAGCTCAGATATCATGTATTTTTACCAGATAGACTTTCTCTTTTTTTTCCAGTGCATTTACAGAGTATATCAGTACTAGATGGAGATACGAGTCAAGTTAGAAGTACAGTGACCCCTCGGTTAACGAGCGCCTCGGTTAATGAGATTTCGGTTAACGAGTTACCTCCCATAAAATTCTTAACTTCGGTTAACGAGCAATCCCTCGGTTAACGAGTTTCTTACGAGCCGACCTCAACATGTTTTCGCTTGCATTTGGCGGTCAACCAGCTGTAGTATTAGTCCGCCAATACAGTAATCAGTTCTAGGGCTTAAATTCCTTATTATTTTAGTAAATATCAAGAAGTTTATACTATTCAATAATTTTAAAAGTTTAATATTAAATTTTCTAGTCATTTTAACAATTATTGAACCTAATTGAAGGTAAAGTCACTTGTTTTATGTGCGCCATCCAGCCTTTTAACACACCAAACAAGCGTTAGTCTCTCTCTGTTTTCAGTGGAGGTAACATCTTGCTTGAGACTCTCTTCAACTAAATGCTTTTCTCTGTGTTTCCAAGCAAATTATTGGTCATTTTGAAATTTACTTTACATATTGACAATATATAGCGCATTGCAGTGTTATTTTAAAGAAAATATTCTTTATTTACAGCTAGTTTAACTTTAAAAATCACGTGTTGACATTGTTTGAATCCAGCATGGGGCCTAAGAGATCAAGAAAAGTGATTTCAATCCAAACCAAACAGGAAATTATTAAGAAACATGAAGAAGGCATTAGAACAAATGCGCTATGCAAAGAATATGGCATGTTGACATCAACTGTGTCAACAATTCTTGCACAGAAAGACAAATTTAAAGTAGTGAAAGTGAGAGACAAATTTACCAGAGTGTTTAAAAGTAGATCCCTAATTGCAGAAACTGGGAGGTTACTTCTCATCTGGATTAGGGAAAAACAGATGAGAGGTGATTCAGTTTCTACTGAATTCATTTGTGAAAGAGCCAGGGAGATTTACGAGCATTTAAAGACAGATCAACCTGGTTCTTCAGGCTGGTTCGAAAAATTTAAGAAAAGAAGTGACATTTTCAGGGTTGTTAGGCATGGTGAAGCTGCTAGTGCTGATAAGGAAGGGGCAGCAAAGTATTTAGTGGAATTTAAAGAACTGATGGAAGAAGAAAATTATCTTCCACAGCAAGTGTTTAATGTGGACGAAACTGGGCTGTTCTGGAAAAAGATGCCTAAAAGAACATTCATCACCAAAGATGAAGCCTCTTTACCTGGGCATAAACCCATGAAAGACCGTCTCACTCTATTGCTTGGTGCCAATGCTTCAGGGGAATTCCGACTGAAGCCTATGCTTGTCTACCACTCTGAAAACCCCAGGGTGTTCAAGCAACAGAAAGTGGTAAGAGCAAAGTTTGGAGTTTATTGGAAGTCCAACCGTAAGGCATGGGTGACAAGACAGCTTTTTAATGAATGGGCTGTTTATGTGTTTTGCCCTTCTGTCAAGAGCTACCTAACCACCAATAAACTCCCTTTAAAGGCTCTTCTCCTCATGGATAATGCTCCTGGTCATGACCCTGAACTTGCCAGAACTTTGGAGTGTCAATTTGACTTTGTGAAAGTGTTGTTTATGCCTCCCAACACTACATCAATCATACAGCCAATGGACCAGAATGTGATCAGCAACTTCAAGAAGTTGTACATGAAGAAAATGTTTAGGTGTCATCAGGCAACTTCCAATGATCCTGAACTAACACTGAAACAGTTCTGGAAGACACAATTCAACATCTTGGAGGCTGTAAAATTGTTTGTGTCATCATGGCAAGAAGTCTCCACTAGATCCCTCAATTCTTCATGGAAAGCACTGTGGCCATCAGTAGCCCATGATTTTGAAGGATTTGAGGAAGAAACAGAGTTGGACCAGGAGATTGTGTCCATTGGTCAGTCATTGGGCCTTGAAGTGGAAGAGGATGATGTCAAAGAGCTTGTGATGTCTCATGAGGAGGAACTTACTCCTGATGACTTGAAGCAACTGGATGAGATGTTAGAGGCTGACAGTGGTGAGGAGGAAATTGAAAGTGATGACCATATGTCAACTAAAGAGTTGAAAGATGTGATTTACCACTGGGAGAAGTTCAGGGAACTGGCTTCAAAGCACCCACATGTGGAAAAAACTGAACTAACTTTGTGTCATGTTGAGGACTCAATGGTCTCCTTCTTCAAACATAAGTTAATGGTGAGGAGGAGAGATGCCCCACAGACCACAATTGACACTTTCTTCAGAGTTAATGGTGAAGAGACAGTTGAGAAGAAGATTAAGTTTAGTTAAGCCAAGTCTGTTTGAAGTTGTAGAGAGGAAACAAGCTCAACAAAAAATGTATCATGATAAGAGTTCCAGTGAAAGTGTGTTCAAGGTAAATGATAGGGTGAGAGTTAGGAATATGGCTAAAGGTTATGGTACTGTACATGCAAAGTGGATAACTGGTGTCATTGACAAGGTATGTGGATCAAGGACATATTTAGTGAAATGTGGTAACTCTTTGAGATATGTTCATGTGGATCACATCATTCAGGCACATGATGAGATGAATGTAGCACCAGAACACGATGATAAACTTGACACAGTTGCAGATGATCATCATGATGATGAGGTCAAAGATGATGTTTCCCAGCATCCACTCACTGTGTCAACTGACTGTAGTGATGATACGTCTGTCACTGATAATGCACAGAGTGCAAGTGAAACCCCTGTAAAAGTTGATGGAGGAAATATTCCTAGAAGATCAAACAGAGTTAGGAGACCTGTAATGAAATTAGACCTCCAATTATCTGAATTGTGAACAGGCCTTTCAAAACTGTTTAGTTAGGAAGTTATATTTCTTGTGTTCTATTCTCTTTTTCCCTGCCATATGTAATTCTGTAAGTTTTGTTTATTTAGGAGAAATAGTGTTAAATGTGTGTATGTTTATATGCTGCCTTTATTGATTATATATATACAGTATATACATGATAAATTAAGTCCGCATGTGGTTTCTCCTTCTCCTATTAAATCATGTAAGATACTACGTACTGTACACTAACCTAACATATGACCTGTATTTTCTTATGTGATCGAAAAAAATTTTGCGACAGAAATCCTGTAGAGATAATTTGTCTTATTGGTTAAAGTACTTAATCCCATTGTTAGAATCTTAAGGCTCCCCAGATGACCAAAAACCAAAATAATACAAATATTGTTTGAAATGTTTATACTATGAAACTTGTAATAGGGGCAGCTAATATCCATTGAATTAGTGAATGTGCTTAGTAATATTTATTCAGTATAGTCTTCATTTATGCGGTCAATTGAACCCGTGGAGGTCCGCGTACAACGAGAAACGCGTAAACGAAATAACAGAACATATGGGATTAATTGAAATAGAGACTGGGCCGACCCCCAAACTTCACTTTTTCCGACACAATAGTACGTTGTAGTAAAAATAACATCTTAATTTTATGATGGTATGCACACACAATTAATAATTAAGAGAAATATCAATAATATTAGGTTTTTTAACACTTATGTTAGTAGAAGAGATGGCTGGGCACACGGGGATGGGGGTTTGGTTCCGAGGCAGAGGGCAGATTATTGGCCCTCACCTGTATCACTTGTATCACTATCCACCACAGAGGCTTGCAGGGCCTCTTTGTCAAACCCCTAAAAGTCCTTATCCTCACTATTACTGACTTGGGTTGGCTGTGGTGGGTGGCGGGTGAAGAACTCGGTAATGTTTTGTTGACTGGGCGACCTTGTGGGCACCCTGCCCGCGCCGCTTCCCGCATAAATGATGGAATGAACCGTGTAAATAAAAATTGTCGGTCTGGCAAGGTGCCGCGTAAATATCCAAACGTGTAAACCAAATCCGAGTAAATCGAGATTATACTTTATATTCAATATAGCATTACTTTGTTGCACAGTAAAGCACAATTAGTTATTTAATAATATTTATTTACAGAGTCGATCAGCCGAGAAGATTGGACAACTCCTTCTAGGGTTCATCAAGGCAGATGAAAGAAATTTACCAAAAGTACAGTAGAAGTCTTTATGATAGCAGAGTATTATCAAGAACTCCGCCACCCAGCTATGAAGCACGTCAAATTACATTTGTCATCTGATCATCTCAAGCCCATCCCCTGGCCATGGTCGTCCCTAGTCCTTCCACAACATTAAATATAGACATGTGACAAAAACTTACATTTTCCAGACATGAAATAGAGAACAGTGGTGAAAACTTCCATGTTGGAGTTATCGGTCTTTTGCATCTTTTTGGCACCCAGCAAGTAAATACACATGATGATACTCGAGCAGTAATTTATTTTAACCTAAAAATAAGGTTATGCACGTGTATATAAACATTGTATATGGCCACAAGTCCTGTATTCCTGCTGGTACCAACACATACACCACAGCTGGCTGCCTCCAGGGTCCTGCTAGGCGGCTCGTGCCAACCTGTGACGCCACAACCAATCTTTTACTTTTATCCGCTTCACCACTGATAGGCTCGTTAGCCGCTTGGGCGATCGGTCATGTCTCTGTTACAGACTACTGACAAGTACTGGGCATGAACTGGCTCCTGAATGTACCTGAACCTGCTACAGTGTTGGTCAAGTCTTGTCTTGAAAGAGCTCACACTCGGTGCCGTCACAACACTCTCTGGTAGATTGTTCCAAGAGTTCACAACTCTCACTCCGAAAAAGTTTGCCCTGACAGTTTTCTGGACTTGCGGCTTCTTCAATCTTGAGCTGTGACCCCTTGTGGGGCAACCGTCCGCCACTCCAAGTAAGGACATTCGACTGAATAGTGCCCCTTGAGATGCTTATACACCTCAATTACGTCACCCCTTGCCCGTCTGTAGTACAGTGGGGTATGCTATAACGAACGGATTCTACTACGAATATTCCTATAACAAACGGATTCTACTACGAATATTCCTATAACGAACGGTTTTACCTATAAAATTGAGAATGCTATAACGAACACAACTCCTACAACGAACGCGGATGAATATGGGACTATTTCGTCTGGCGTATGAATATTGTTGTACCGCGGCTCACAGCACAGTCAGTGCACCACTGAACTTGTTGAAATTTCGTCTTTTGATGTGGAAATTCGTGTTTTTTTTATAACTATTTTGTTATACAAGTGTACAATTGTAACAATGAATCGTCAAAAGCGAGAGAGAAAGCTAATAACCCTTTAAACTAAGAAAGAAATTATAAATAAACAGACAAAGTGCCTGTAAGACAGTCACCAAAGAGGGCTAGGAAGGATGACTCCTCTCCTTCCACCTCTTCTCCATAATTCTCTCCTTCCCCCTCCTCCTCTGCCTCCTGTCCTGCATGCTAACAACACTAAGGTAAAATAAAGTACCGTATTTTTTACAATTTCCACAGAAATTTTTCAGTGTTAAGTGGTTGTATTTGGGGGCCTGGAACGGATTATTCCTATAACGAACGAGGTTCTAGAACCAATTAGGTTCGTTATAGCATACCCCACTGTATAAGCTAGGTAAGTTCAGAGCTTTTCGCAGTCACCTGACTTTTTAGCTACTTTAACCCCTATTTTTTACACTTTTTGGCCTAATTTATTTAAAATCCTCATTATCATAGTGAATTTAAGCCTTTTCTTTACCCATTGACCTGCCATCTTATGAAAAAATTCTGACCGTCAACTCGTCTATTATCTCATTTTGAATTCCTTTGTGGTGATTTTTGTTTAACACAGACCTGTAAGTTTGCATGATCAAGTATGTGATAGACTTTTTAAAGACAATACTGTACTGGCATCATCAAATATATACAGTATAGTACTACTGTTTCAAATTAGCACTGAACATCCATCACAAAACAGGTCATTATATAGTGGCATAGCAAAGAAAATGGCCACATCTTCACCATCCAACTGTTATGTGACTAATGAGTGTATGAAGCACAGTCAGCCAGTCACTGCCCCCACACCAGCTTCTCAGTTGCCAAATTTGGTGCTGACTTTAAATTTACAAATATTTTTAACCAAACAATTGAACATAATACTATGTAGTAAAAGCAAAGGTTAATGTATTACTATACAATACCAGACAAACAATTTATCAAGCCCTCTGTGCTGACTCGTAAACTTCAAAGGTTGTAAGGTATACTGTACTAGATATATATTGTAATCTAACTGGGACATGATATAAAATAGTTGGACTAATTGGAAAGCTGGAAGACAGATAACAGGACTTTTACTGTCTACTGTATACGAGGGATAATTTTTTGTATCTTAAGATGGGGAAACTGTATAAGGAACAATAACTTACCACCTCTCGTAGTGCAGACAGCATATGGCAGAATGTTGAACTATGATTGTTCCAAGACAAAGAGAGCATTCCTTCTGCCATCTTGAATAAGTGATTTCACCTCTGAAAATTCCATGACAATGTAAATTTTCCATTATGATAAAAATATAGTATGGTACCTAACTTAAACACAGTACCAGGTGAACTAAGTACTTTAAATGAATAAAGAACATTATCACTGGCATCTACTACAATCTCTACCCCTTTTATATTGCCAATCTAATTATGCATTGTTCACTATAGAGGAGTTCACTGCATCATGTAATACTGTACAGTATATATAAATTAAGATTTTCTGATTTCAATTGATAATTTCTTTTTGGTATATACTGTACACTGTACACAAATATCACAGGTTTTATAAACATTAATACAGCAAGCAATCCATATTCACAAGGGTTACATCTCTGGAAATCCTCAAAAAATGCAGATACTGTACCTTGGTTCACTGAAAAAAAAGTTTGGTTCCTAGCACTGACTGAACATAGAAAGGATGGACATGCATTCACTCTCAGCAGCAGCTGAGTCAACTGACGGGTGAACCAGTTGGCATCAAATTGATTTTTAACTTGCAAAGCCAACAGCATATGAGTTAAAACTGGATTCATGAAATATTTTTCATTATCATTGACTTAATGTACTGTATATGGCTCCCATTAATTCCCAGCCCATTTACAAAGGATATACCCCCGTATTTCTGGAAAACCTGAACATATTTAAAAAATGGCAAATATTTAAGAACAATAATCAAAATAAATGTCCATAGAACAGTGTGTTTCTTATTCACCTTTAATAATGATGATGTGATATTGTAATGTATTGCCATGCTTTTTTAAAGTTAACTGGGCATGAATGAAGACTTTCTTTCCTACAGCCTGGCATACTGGGCCATCTCAAAAGTTTGCTGCCCAGAAAAGTTCAACTATCCAGCCGAATACTAGATGGTACAAACTGTCTAGCCAGAGTATCCAGTGCATCCCTAAATGAAAACCTTAAATTTCAAACTGCACAACCATCATTGTTGTAATGTGTAACTCCAGTCAGCAAGCGCTGTCTACCAGGTACAGTACTTAAGTGTGAAACCCACTACAGTATTGTACCACACTTCAAACAGCTGAAGCTTCAGTACATTACTAAATAATACAACTGGATTTATCTCATACTTAACAATACAGCATCTTAGTTTAGCATTTTGTTATCCATGTACTGACTGTACAAAATTCATCTGAACTTTGGAGATACTGTATTGATGTCTTAATTCCTGATGGATTAAGACATCAATATCCCCTAAGTTTAAGAGAACTTCTGTGAGAAAAACAAAAACAGATACCATAGTAATCTCTCCGATAGCCGGAATAATTGGTGCAGAGTTGTTCCGGGCATGGAGATGAATTTTTCACCCTTGAAAAAAGTCGCACATCCTTGGAATTTTTCTGGGTGTCTAAACTATGCATCTAACATGAACAGACACAGAGCTGTATTTATTTATGCAAAAAACAAGTGTATAAACTATACTGTACTCACCAACAGATGCTGTCATCTCAGGCTTGTGATACAGGCAGGCCAAATGGTGATGTGATGATACAGGATGGCTTGCCTTTGTCCTGTACCATCTACTGTAACAACTGTTACTAACTGTCCTTCTCCTCTCCTTCCATGAAGGAGGGTTTGTACACACACAGTATACTGTACATACTCTCTCTACACACTAGGCTACAGAAGGTATACTCTATCCACCCTGCTATGTACAATACTGTACATACAGTACTTCCACACTTATTGAATGTACAGTACAGTAACTGTAATAACTTGTTATGTCTTAACACTGCTTTAACAATATTTTTGGGTGATCATATGCTGGTACGGTAATGTAGAGTACTGCACAACACAGTTCATATGTGAAAACAGTAGTGAACAAGAGAACAAGCTTGTACAGACAATGAACCAAGAGTTAATTGAAATAAACGTAGATCTCGAGACAAAAGCATTGTTCAAATGTAAGGGCTTCAGTGATTACCGATGTAATGAAAATACTGCTTCCAAATAGCAAACCTTAGGGCAGCTACTGACCCGTTTTTACTTGCTAGAGTTTGAGGGGATAGGCTGTGAGATACATCAGCCAATCATAGGAATCCCATACAGCCAATCATAGGTATCCCATACAGTCACATGACAGTAGTGGCCAATCATAGCCCATGAGCCCTCTGAGCCTGCCACCCACATGCCTGGGACACATCCCCGCATCAGAAACATGATGTAATCTCTCAGAAATTCGTTCGAATACCTGGAATGGAGAGATTTTCCCCAGAATTTCTCAAAATTAAAAAATAAATAAAATCTGGATAATGAAGAGTTCTGAAGAACAAAGATTCCAGCTAACACAGAGATTACTACTATACAGTACATATTATCAAATAATTAGAATTACCTCTGTGCAGAAAATATCCAAACATATACCATAACAATTTCCATTTTTTGACCCTGTGAAACAAACTAAGTACACATTACCTAACCTAATAATCTTAATATAGTTTTTAGTTAAATTTTGTTAAGTTTAGATTCCTTGATTTGTTTTGACTTGTCTTAACCTTTCACTGTAAAACAGGATAAATCCTATGATAGTAACTTGTGCAGTATCTCCTCTACTCACGAGCTTTCATACATAAGAACAAACCTGTCTGTATAGGTATGTCCAAATTTCCATTCAGTGCGAAAGTGCAAGAGTCATTAGTTCTATTCTACCAACGCATAATAGATGGCGTGAGTGCACTACCCTGTACTTCCAACATTCCTGGTCAAGCGGTAGCCATTTTATTTTTTGTGGCTTTTACAAACATTATTGACTGCAATATCTCCGAGAAGTGTAAAGGTAGTGCCAGTGATGAGAGTACGAGTAAGAAAAGACACACGATTACAATGGAAACAAAAGAAGCAAAAATAAAACAAATGGAAAGAGGTGATGAGACGACAAATGTGGGTCGTGTTTTCAGGTCGAATCGTTCGACTGTTGGTACGATTTTAAAAGACAAAAAGAATTATGGAGCATGTAAAACGTTGTGACTGTGCAATCAACCATCATTAGTAAGAAAAGAGGAAAATTGCACAATGAGATGGAAAAACCTTTGTATTTGTGGCTGGAGGACCAAAATTAACGTCATATGCCTATTAGCTTAATGCTAATCCAAGAAAAACTACAAGTCTTTTTGAGGAACTTAAGTAGAAATACAGTGACTGTTACAGGTGAGACATTTACAGCCAGTCTTGGCTGTGGGTGTGCTGTACACAAGGTATTTTTCATATTTAACACATTGTTTGCAAGAGATAGAGGTGAATTTGGACTTATGAACAAATGGACTTACAAATAAGACCTCCAGAACCAATTACTGTATGTTCGTAAGTATGAGACTGCCTGTAGTTAGATCACTAGATGTGATCACCAGGTTTTCCCAAAGGCATTAAAAATACAATTTGAAGGTCTTACATGGTCGCACCACCCTCCTCCAACTGTGAAATGGTCATCGCTATCCAGTAAGTGTTGCCATCTCACAGTGGTGAGTGTGAACTCCCGATGACTCTGCCTCCCAACCATGCACTGATGATTTGCAATTAAGGTATTTTTCTCCACAATGACACCTCGTAGTGCATCACTGTAGATAAATACACTGTGCAGCAACCAACCAATACAGAACAGTTGCCAGCCAGCGAATAATGAATGACTGACCTCCCTTCCATTCTATAAAAACTTGCCTTACAATACCTAAAGAGCTTAACCCAATGCAAAATAATATGTAACAATAATAATAACACACTTCCATCTTAGGATAGGATGGTTGGGTAGGTTTTATTAGTTTATCTTGTCTACAGTATATCATAATGTAATGAAATACTGTAATAATAACGTTTGCTGCAAATGTTCATGTGTATTGAATAGATGACGACAATGATATTTACTAGATCCTAATTGAACCCGACCTGGTTAATATTGACGACTGACCCGCGGACGAGTTATTCGTTTTATTTCTTATTTTCTTATTTTATTTTCATTAGTGAGTTCTGATATGATAATCATTTCTTGTGCAAATGCTTCAACTTGTAGAAATTAGGCACCTAAGGTGCACTACTTTGTCTTTCTGGTGGCTGTGCTCTTTGCCGCACCCGCCTCTCATTCCCACGCGCGTTTCATTTTCAGGGTGATGTGTGAAGGTTGTTGCCGGTCCTGTGCTACAGTTCTAGTGCCTATAAAGGAACTTGGCTTGAAAATGCCAAGATTAAACCCAGTATTGTATTTTATTTATAAACATCTTTCGAAGAAAGTAATTTACACAGCAATACTGTGAAAATGAACTGGGTTTGTGTGCAAAGTTTGTTGTATATGATGTATTTCATAACACTCTGCCGCCAGGGCTGGATCAACACCGATGCAAGCGGCTGCTCTCACGTCCACAAAAAACATAAAATTACACCATATCATAGTAAATTCTTTCTGTTTAATATACCGGGGGGGTCCGGGTTAAGTGAAATTGTGGCATTTCTAAAATCGTTTTCTATGAAAAGTCGGCCGTGGGTCAGTCATCAATAATAACCCGACCTTACCAACCAATGAAATCGGTAATTTTTTACTTTCGGACTTTCGGACATGAGTCCCTAGGGGTTGACCAATGTGTTTTACCAGTGTATTTTGGTGTGTTTTAAACAAATCTGATCTTCATTTTTGGCAGAAATTGCTAGTTTTGCCTTCTTCCCCTATCGATAATGGGGGAGAGCCCAGGAAATCGGGGTTTTGGGTGGGGGGAAACAGGAAAACGAGTCGTTTAACCAAACCAAACCAAACCTAACCCCTATACAGGGGGCTCTGCCCTCGGACCCCCAGTAGGCTTAGCTTAAACTAACCTAACCTAACCTATTCATTTCCAACTAAATACAAATGGGGTTCAAGACTAAAATAATGAGATCTAAATGTTTCAGTAGTTTTAAACTTTGGGGTGCACCATGTCCTTAAGAACAATACCTTAGTTAGAAGTGGAAGGACCAGGGATAAGTTCAGGGTCAACCTCTGATACTTGTTCTTTCTAATTTACAAGGCAATTTACAGTGCGGGCACTCAACAGATGTAGGGAGAACACCCTGATTACGTAGGAATTGGATAGCTTGATTGTCTTTATCGTAAAACTCAGCAATAAACTTAAAATAATCATAGGAGCACGACTCACACCCAACCTCTACCACGGTCATTGTCACACTGGTCATTGAAATTGAAATCCTTCAAATCCGTATCTTGGCTCCTCCCTTTGAAAAAATAAAATTTTGATTGGTCGAAAAAAAATTTGCGTGACGAGATCGATACATCATTGATCACGACTGGAAGACGTCACACATGCGTGATGCAAACACGCTCATAATTAGCTCACTTTCACGACGATAACATCTCACATAGACGAAGACTGAAAAGTACGTAAAATCAATTAAACTCAATTGTGTCGCTATTATCCATTTCTGCCAGGTATATGTGGGCTTCAAAATGCTCAGAATAGGGAGATCTAAATGTTTCAGTAGTTTATAACTTTGGGGCGCGCTGTGTCCGAAAGTAAAATAATACCCAGAAATCTATGGTACCTAACCTTACCTAACTTCCTAGCTGGGGGGGGGGGAGCGGACCACTGTCATATTAAACAGAAAGTACTTCGCCAATCAAAGTGCACTCTTGGTAAAATAGTGTTAGTAGGAACTTTGCCAGTCACGGCAAAATATCCACTATGAATAATTTTATAACAGCCATTCAAGGATTCCCAGACTGTGCATATCTTTCATTTTCTGGGCCAGGCAGAGCTATTACACCTACAGACATTTGATTTCTGTGGTGGATATTTTACAGTGCAGTAATTATGGCTTTCCTAGATGTCACACAATATAATACAGTGTTTCAGTAGGTTATTCAAACACAGGACAGTAAACGGTACAGCTACTGTAGGTTGAAAAAGTGCATTGCCTTAACTAAATACTTACTGTAATATTAACATTTGTCAAAAACTACGAAAGCAAATTTCGTCAACACTAAGGTTTTGAGGAATTTCAGTAAATCCCTAAACCCTGAAAAAGTGTTAGTAATGTTAACAACAGAGGTTAACTTAGGCTGGTGGGTGTTGTTGTTGTTGTCATCTCTGTTGACTACATCTACCAACACTAATCAATCCATTATCATCAAAACATTTGTGTAAATATTTAAAAAAAATGGACAGTTTTCTCACCCGTTACGTTGTTGTTTATTAAGAATACTTGAGGCAGGTTAATGATGTGACATTATTAATGAAGGCAGGTGTAATACAGTACAGGAACGAAGCGTTTATTTCTGAGGACCACAAGCCACCCTCCGCCTCCCTCGACCAGTGCCGCGGCCACACTGTCTCCAGCGGCGAGGCCTTCACTCCACTGCCCTGCTACACTGTTTATGCTGAATTAAAGCTTATATGTTTCTAGGATGTTCATTACATTATTAATGATTGCTATGTATACAGTATTTATCTTCTCACCTCGGATGTTCATTACAGATTCTGACATATATTTATATGTACTGTACTGTACTGTACTTCTATTCCTTTCTCGGATATTCATTAAGTTTGCTTGAAAATGGGTCGTACATGTCCCCCCCCCCACAAAAAATAAAAATAAAAAAAAAAATAAATAAATAAATATATATATATATATATATATATATATATATATATATATATATATATATATATATATATATATATATATATATATATACATATATATATATTTAGCAATCAATCATCGTATTCTCGGAAATGTGTATTGATGACTGGTAAATCAAGCAAATAAATTATTTAGTGGACTTATACGAGGATTGTTTCCTTAAATTAAGGGTTCCCAAGCATTTTCCAGTGCGACCCCATCTAGTGCTGTTGTAGCGTGTAGTGGATTTCTCCCCTACAAACGCTGTTTGTCGCTGAGTAGCCGACCCCACCAATTCCCCAGTGTATGCCTCGTGTTCGAGGTCAACCAGCGCCGCCATACATCACAGAGCGGGGGTCAACTGCTAAGCCACGCCTACCCCCGCTATTTAAGACCTGACCTCGTGGTGATCACCCTCTTTCTACCTACACCAACCAGCCAGCAACACACACCTCCTCCTCCGCTGCTGCCTGGCGGCCCTCGCTCCTCCTCCGCCTGCCTGACGGTCCTTTCTCCCGCTGGCGAGCATGGCGACCCACAAGCTGTCCTCCTCTGAGCGTCCTCACCAACCAGCTCTCTCTACATCACGCTTGTAACCATGCTGCCTTCCCAACACCAAGCTGCATTGTACAGCCAATACAACATGTATATAGAGAGCACATTGTGAGTTTCCTTTCTCCATTCCATCCTGAGTGTGAACACAAACATCTCATACCCCACAAATGGTGACCCCGGAGATTCGCACTCACACAGGATGGAGGAGAAACTGATCACGCTCCCAGTCTTCAAGCAACATGGAAGACTGGCTTATCCACACAGAAGCAGCTCTCATCGGCTCTACAACTACTGTCTCTACACCGCAGGTTAGACACCCTAAAGCAGCACTGCTTCTCTAAGCAGACACCAGCTCCTCTTCCTGCCCCAAGCACCACGTCCTACCGACCCCAGCACACCCGTCCTGCCTCAGACGCCGACCCCGGCCCAGCAGTAACCCCTGCCGCCCCTGATGCGGTCTCTGTTCCTGTGTGCGGACCCACACACCCCTCTTTTCTCCCTCAGGTACTCCCTGCTAATGTCCTGCACCCTGCTGCTGTCAAGAGCCCTCATCCGCTTCTGCTGACGCAGCCCCTACTCCTGACCCAGGCCCACACACCCCAGCAAGCGCATCTGACGATTCTATACCTGCCATGAGGGAAGCACAACATTCATCGCCTCCACACACCCTTTTTCTCCCTCTCTTCTCCCACAGATAGTGTGTATCTAGACAGTTGTATCCAGCGACAGGCTCATCCACACCATCGTTGTTGTCTCACATGAGGCATGCACCGCCCGTTCTGCCTCACATGTGCTAAGCAACCCTGCAGACAACAAGTCTCCTACACCGCCTGGAGGGAAGGGGGAGTATTGTAGTGGATTTCTCCCCTACAAACGCTGTTTGTCGCTGTGTAGCCGACCCCACCAATTCCCCAGTGTATGCCTCGTGGTCGAGGTCAACCAGCGCCGCCATACATCACAGAGCGGGGGTCAACTGCTAAGCCACGCCTACCCCCGCTATTTAAGACCTGACCTCGTGGTGATCACCCTCTTTCTACCTACACCAACCAGCCAGCAACACACACCTCCTCCTCCGCTGCTGCCTGGCGGCCCTCGCTCCTCCTCCGCCTGCCTGGCGGTCCTTTCTCCCGCCGGCGAGCATGTCGACCCACAAGCTGTCCTCCTCTGAGCGTCCTCACCAACCAGCTCTCTCTACATCACGCTTGTAACCATGCTGCCTTCCCAGCACCAAGCTGCATTGTACATCTAATACAACATGTATACAGAGAGCACATTGTGAGTTTCCTTTCTCCATCCCATCCTGAGTGTGAACCAAACCACCTGTTCCCCACACTGTCGCCTATCCAATGGGGCCCCGAGAATAAAAACGGGCATATTTTTACTCGCATTTAACTATAAAAACAAATAAATATAATATATTACAAAATGGAGAAGTGTAAAAGTAAACACTAGCAAAAACAGGTTACAACTCTGTCATGATTATATTGTAGTGGACGTCTCCCCTACAACTGTGTATCGCATTCCAATGCAACAGTATCCTAGCAACCAAATGAGCGGCCCGGGGTCACCAGCTGCTACGTCTTCCCTAGCAACGGAGTCAAGAAACCGGCGCGTTCCCACGGATTTACTTCCGGCTGCTGTGTATATAAGCTCTGTCTCTCCATTGAGATTCATTCTGGCCTCGGTTCCTGAACACGCAACACCTCCTCCTCCGCCGCTGCCTGGCGGCCCTCGCTTCTCCTCCGCCTGCCTGGCGGTCCTCGCTCCCACCGGTGAGCATGGCGACCCACCAGCTGTCCTTCTCTGAGCGTCCTCACCAACCAGCTCTCTTATTCTACTCTACGTTTCTGAACACGCAACACCTCCTCCAAGCAAGCTCCTCGCTGTCCAGCTCTCATTCAACCTGGAAGCCAGCAACAGGCAACATCTCCTCTAACGAAGCTCCTGCACATCTACCTCCTTCAGCACGCTACTCACCGAACGTGTCTACTGAGCAGCTCCTCACCACACGGCACCTCCAGCACCAGACTGTCTTTCATATAACTTATATTATATTAGAAAACCACCACCTAGAGTTTCCATCAATCCCATCCTGAGTGCTAGACAACATAATATCACGTAACCCTACAATATCATCAATAGTGTTCTATACCTGGGTGTAAAATTAGGTGGTTAAACAGCATAAGACAGGTTTTTTTTAGTTACAACTGTCACATTTCAGATATAACATGTGTGCATTATCATTTAATTAATCACAATGCACGTTAAACAACATACGATTCAAGTGTGTCATTTTATATGAAATGTGTACATCATTATGTAGTGGATTCCTCCCCTACAAACGCCCTGTGTCACTGACTAGCCGACCCCCCGCGAATCTACGAATCTACCAGCGTATCCCTCGTGGTCAAGGTCAGGTAACCAGCGACGCCGAAAAAGGGGGGTCTACAATCAAGCCACGCCTACCCCCGCTATATAAGACCTCACCTGGCTGTGACCTGCCCTTCTTCTAGCTACAGCCGCAGCAAGCAACACCTCTGAGCACCCTCACCAACCAGCTCTCCATAGTCACGCTTGTAACCACGCTGCCTCCTCCCAGCACCAGCCACCAAGCTGCATTGTACATCCATTATAATATGTATACAGAGAGCACATTGTGAGTTTCCTTTCTCCATCCCATCCTGATTGTGAACCAATAACCAATAACAATTGGTGACCCCGGAGATTCGCACTCACACAGGATGGAGGAGAAACATATCATGCAAATCTACAATTGGTGACCCCTGACATGGACCCATACACCCCTCTTTTCTCCCTCAGGTACTCCCTGCTACTGTCCTGTACCCTGTTGCTGTCGTGGACCCAGCTGCTGTCACGAGCCCTCATCCGCTCCTGCTGACGCAGCCCCTGCTTCTGACCCAGGCCCACACACCCCAGCAGGCGCATCTGAGGACTCTGTACCTGTCGCGAGTGAATCACAACTTTCATCGCCTCCACAACCCTCTTTCTCCCTCTCTTCTCCCACAGATCTTGTGTGTCTAGACAGTTGCCTCCACTAGCGGCCGGCTCATCTACGCCCTCGCCATTATGTCTCACATGTGGCATGCACCGCCCGTCCTGCCTCACATGTGCCATGCAACCCTGCAGACAACAAGTCTCCTACACCACCTGTAGGGAAGGGGGAGTATTGTAGTGGATACCTCCCCTACAAACGCTGTTTGTCGCTGAGTAGCCGACCCCGCGAATTCCCCAGTGTATACCTCGTGGTCTAGGTCAACCAGCGCCCCCTTACATGGCGGAGGTCAACTATTAAGCCACGCCTACCTCCGCTATATAAGACCTGACCTCATGGTGACCACTCGCTCTTTCTACCTACACCAACAAGCAAGCAACACCACCTCCTCCGCTTCTGCCTGGCGGCCCTCGCTCCCGCCGGCGAGCATGGCGACTCACAAGCTGTCCTCCTCTGAGCACCCTCACCAACCAGCTCTCTCTACATCACGCATGTAACCACGCTGCCTCCTCCCAGCACCAGCCACCAAGCTGCATTGTACATCCAATATAATATGTATACAGAGAGCACATTGTGAGTTTCCTTTCTCCATCTCATCCTGATTGTGAACCCAAACATCACATAGCCCCACAGTGTCACTGTTACTTCCCCCCCCCCTCTCCCAGCCAGGATTTGGTGGTTTTAGATTTAAAGTTTTTATCTTATATAATATCTCAGACTAAAGTTAGGAGAATATAATTTGCATTGCTGGAATCCTTGCAAGACAGCGAATAATTTAAATATAAACGTCATATATTTTGCACAAGAGATAAAAATTAATCACCTGTAGTGATTTAAGAGTTCTAGTGTATATACTTATATATATGCAAGTAAATCACTGGAGGTGCGCGTGATCTAGGTATATGCTGATAACCACAAGGAAAGAAGAAAACACGAAGTTCCCAAGCGCTTTCGTGTAATTCACATCTTCAGGGGTGAGTACAGACTAAAGACCATCCTGTTTACCACCAATGCCTCCGGTACCTGTAAGCTCAAGTTATCGGTGATCCACACAGCACGCAAGCCGCACGCCTACAAAACCATGGACATGACTAAGCTAAATGTCCCCTGGCTGACCGCACGTAAGGCGTGGATGTTCTCTACACTGTCCCT